TCAAGAAACAGCAAAAAGAAACATCTGTCAACATACTCAGGAAAAAGATATTTAAGTGTTACTTTGATTGAATTAAATAACTGCCACTTCCAAACTGGCCATTATCATTAGCAGAGATGGTACCTTCAGATTGGCCTTGCCAATTAGGGCTCACCTCTGGGGAGGTGAGGCCAGTTCCTTCTAAATCATAAAGCTGAGAATGGAGGGAAGAGGTAGGTTTTGAAAGAAATTCAGGCTACTTCTCCAAGAAAGAGAAATGGACACAGGGCAGTCAATAGCAGGAATTCATTACAGATATTTCCTATTTACTCTTTTAGAAAGAAGTTCAAAACTTTAACCCCAAACCACATATTTTCTGTATGCTACCTAACACATATGATTAAGAAAAATCATTTCACAGTATTTATTTACTTTAAAAAATATTTTTTAGTTGTCACTAGACCTTTATTTATATATGGTGCCGAGAATCAAAACCAGTGATTCACATATGCTAGGCAAGAGCTCTACCACTGAACCACAACCCCAGTCCCTATATTTATTTTAATAATCACTACAGAGAATTCGCTACAAAATTGGTAATAATAGAATTATTATTGTATTATTCAAAAGAAATCCTAATGACTTCTGAAATCAAACACACTTTAGCTGATATCCCTATTTTAGTGTGCTGTCTAAAAAACATGACACTGTAATTGTTGTCAGACCACAAAAACATGTATTGAAATGGAATGGCCATCTTTACAAAGCATGATACCCATTGCTTTGGGTATCTGATCATAGTTTCTGATGCACAGCTTCAAGTTGTTCATTTTTTGGCTTGTCTTTTAGTACTCTACAGTGATGTTCTGGTTTTTCCTTTGCCAGCCTCTCCCACCTCCATCTCTTCCTATACTCAGAATACTTTTTCATGATAAAGTTTACTTTTCCGAGGCTAGGGTTGTAGCTCAGTGGTAGCAACTTGCCTGGCACGTGAGAGGCACTGGTTTCGATCCTCAGCACCATAAATAAATAAGATAAAGGTATTGTGTCCATCTACAACCCCCAAAAAATTTAAAAAAAAAGTTTACTTTTCCTTTATCAGTTGAAATCCAAGAAGAGCCCACGGTGAAATACATCTTAACAGTTCACTTACTACCTTAGCTATTTGCAACCTGTCCTCAATTTCTATAAATCGAATCTGCTTAAAGTTACCAATAGCATCAATATTCAAACTACCAAAATATTTACATGGTTGATAACATACTGTTTGTTTCTCCTATCTGATTGGTCTTCCTATCACCCCTAGCCATGTCTCTGTACTAATTACTCGTACTTCTCTTTTATGGAATAAAACCCCAACAGGTTTAGTAAGGTTCAGAGTTAGCCACTGGCTGCGTGCGTGCGTGCGTGGCGCTAGAGATTGAATCCCAGGGCCTTATGCATGCAAGGCAAGCACTCTACTAACTGAGCTATATCCCGAGTCCACT